TCTCGTGCATCAATGAAAAAAAGCATAGTTTAAAATAGGTAGGTTGCATAAATTAAGAATTCTGACAAGTGAATTATTCGTAGCGCAAACTGAAAAAAAAATGCGCCAAGATAAATTTTTAAATTTCTCACCGAAAATTACAAAATTTAACATCTAGACATAATTTGATCATAGAATCGAAATACGGAAAAAAAGCTGATATGTTATTTCAGAAAAACTCCGATTTTGTGTCAAAATACCTATGTTAGAATAATTGTTATATATAAATGTAATGCATATCTTAAGTCGAGCTTTCGAGACATGAGGAACGCAGTTTGAATATCGTCAATCGGCCCAATAGAACGGGAAATATAGATCAGTCCCTTCCCTCCCCCCCACAGTGTACCTAATAGTTGAGCCTCAGATGCCTTTTGTAAAGGGATGGGCAAATTACATTCACGCCTTCTCCGAGATTCGAACCCGGGTGTTTGGTAAAGTAGTCAGAGTCAGTAACCATTTTTCCGTGTGGGCAGCCGTTTTGTATGTGCGTATATATATATGTAATAAACACAAATTTAGAGAAGTGCTGATATAGGAACACTGAGATGCAGAAACGTAGAAATACTAATTACGTATCGCAACAAAGAGGACAGATCGTAAATTCATATTGAAGAGGAAGAAGTTTGATTGCGTAGAATGCTAATCCATAATGAATAGGAAAACTTGGCAGTAAAGGCAAATGAAATTCCATTTTTATTTAAATTCACATTTGTGGCAACAGTTTACTTGGCGGTCTAATCGTGCCTATTCAAGAACATTCATATTTTGGGTATGACTGCGGTAGGAAGAGAGCACAGCAAAATTACGTTCTAAGCAGTGCACAGAGATAGAAGCGAAGTGCACATTTTTTCCAATATGGCAGCCTATTAAGAGAAAGGCTTTGGTTTATGTTAGAAAGGTTTCAGTTCTCAGATTTTAGGTTTGAGTTTAACTACGTCATCAACGTTACGCAAGCTCTGCAGCATAGATTAATTTAGAAATGGCGCAGCCCAGAAATGTTATTATTACTTTTAGAATAGAGAGAGGCAGTTCCCAAATTAAAAATAAGGAATTAAGAGACTAATACTAAATTAAATTATAAAGCGGATTTCCGTAATTTTTATATTACACACACACACACATACATATATATACAGGTACTCTTCTGTTATAGGGACTAGATTCAGAATTACGCACACACACATTCCTACATACATATGTATCTCAATGACGCTCTCAGCGCCGCCCTCTAGCGTTACGCGGAACTTACCATTCTCCCCGCTTAAACTCTCATGGAGTTTACATTTCAAATTTCAGATATTGAGATAAATTTAAAGTCAATAAACTTACACTAAACTAAATATTAAATTGGTAAATTATTAAATTGTAAAGTAAAACTTTTTCAAGATACATGAATACATACAGCCATACATACATTTCTGAATCCGGTCCTGATAACAGAAAATCATCTATACACTCATATATATATATACAGAATGGTATAACGCCTTATTCTTATAAGCATACATACAAGGACACAATTTAATTGGTAAATTGTACTATTAAATAAAGTGATGATGAAATGAGCTGCGGTCTGTACCAAAACGAGTTTTCTAACATGGTTACGTGAGTATTTAACATTTATGCACATATTGTATCGAATGCTACAACGCTTTATTCTTAAAAGATGTATAAATTGGATTGATAAATCAGGCATAATATGCACAACATTAAATAAAGTATACAGCGATTTACACTGAGTGGCCAAAATATTACACGCACCCTTTTCACTTCCTTGTACGAAGTAAAGGAAATATTGTAATTGCGAAACATTTCGCGGATCCATTTTGACTGGTGTCGAATTCATTTGGACTTTTTTTTTTGCGTGACGTCTGTGCGTACGGACAGAATAAAGGCTTCCCCCCCAAAGCGGACTCTAAAGAGGGTTTTGTTATTTTATTTCTTTACATTTTGTTTTTCGTGATATAGAATTAAAGTCTTTAGATACGGAAAAGACTAAGAATCAGTATATGAATGGGAGAAGACGAATGTAAAGTTGTTTAATTAACATAAAATATTTTATATAGTACCCACAGCGACAAAAGTTATATCTGTAAATAAATAAATAATAAATAAAATACGAAATTTTTATGTTCAATGCTTAGGAATAGAATTTATTCCTATGCAAACTTATTCTTAAGTTTATTTAAAAAAATAAATGAAATTTTATCTTTTTATTTATTTTTTTTTTAAATTTTTTTAGGTCACCAATATTTAACATTCGCGTTCCAATAACCTGCGTAAAAAAGTGATGCAGTTGCTATGTAGTGTGTTTCTCCAGTTCCCTGTAAAATATTATCAGGAAATTATTTCCGATAAGCGTCATCAATTAATTATCTTCGAGGACGAATTCCCTCTTCAGAACTCGTGATTGAAGGGCGTTTTCTAACACGCCTGGTGCTTTTTTATGCCCGCGGTAATCTCCTCGATCCAAACATGGCAGTCGTATGAAAATAAGCTTTCTTTCGAGCACAAAATGTTCATTTAATTAATTCCTCCAGGAACTGCATTCTTGTAATAAACAAAATGTTTTAAAGACATTATCTCTGCGAGGTGTACGGTACCGTAACTGAAATTCTTCGAACGTTTCTAAATGTTCTTTGGAGGATTCGAATCAGAGAGAAAAACTTCATAAGCAATTCCAAATGAGAATTGGAATAGTTTTCTTAAATCACAGAATTCATTATTTGTGACAGAAATCAGTTGCTGCTAAGTTAGTAACTAGGAATAGAATTCAGTTTGTACCAAAGAAAATAATTCTTGAAATAAATCACAAAATATTAAAATTTTAAGGAATTTTTTATAGGTTGGCTGAATTTTTACCGTAGGTAACTACCAAATTCAGTTCCTAATTAAACACGAATAAGCAAATATTTAAGAGGTTCAGAAAGAAAGGCAACTCTAAACTTTCCTGGTATACGTTTAAATAAATGAAGTTTTTTTTTAAATTTTAAATAAAAGTTATTAATTTAGAAGTCAAACAACAAAAATCAGCATTATATTTTCAAATTTTCACAGGACTAGTTTTGATGGTTTTACCGAATCATCATCCTCAGCTGCAAAAGCGCAAATGAACGAGATAAGATAAGACAAGAAAGCCAGTACATGTATGTTTTAGTTCTGGTTTCATCAACGGATGGCGCCAATAGCTTATCTTCTATACAAAGCTTTCTTGTCTTATCTTATCATTATATCTTATCTCGTTCATTTGCGCTTTTGCAGCTGAGGATGATGGTTCGGTAAAACCATAGAAACTAGTCCTGTGAAAATTTGAAAATATAATGCTGATTTTTGTTGTTTGACTTCTAAACTAATATTTGTTCGGCGTGTTATTGTATCTTAAATAAAAGTTAGCTAATGTTACTTCATTAACGTGCTCTTTACTAAAAAGTGCCCTATATAATTTTAATTTAGTGGTTATCAAGATGTTTATCAGGAATTATAGCAATAGCTAATGAGACAAGATTTTGGCGAGTAGCGAAGAAAAAATGTAAAATTTAACATTTTTATCTTCAGCGCTCCGAGACTGTGTATCGAAAATTCTACTAAAGAAATGTTGTTTTTAAATATTTTGTGATACTGCTGTTGAATTGAATTTTATATGGTTTAAGTGTGAAGATCATGATATTTAATAAATAAAGGTAATACACAAAACGTTAGAAAAACGCCCTTTTGAACGTAATATAAAATCTGAAAACTTTCAGATTTTCCTTTTTACTTTCTTTTTTGATCACTTTTCCTGTCTATTGTAAAACAGCAATTCATAACTTCCAGACTTGGCTCCGCAAGGGAGAGTGACACATCCCTTGAATCTAAACCCTTTCTCGTGTCCGCATATTTAGAAATTCCTGAAATATTATACTATAATGCTAAATTTAACTTTTAATTATTTTTATTTATTTTTTCGCAATGCATTCTTAATATTATTTGTGTGCAGATGAAATATCTAGCATTTTTAACAGTTCGATATGAGCAATAGACGGTGATAATATAAGTTCTGCTTTTAGTTTTTTCAAATTTACATCTTTTATTTGCATAGCGCCACGCCATTTTCAAAATAGTAAAAATAATTCCTCATTGGGGTTCTTGCCCCCTCCCCGGAGAATAAAATAGAATCAATAGAATCATTTCTCTGTTGCATTGGTTTCGTAAGGCTTAAATTTTGCCAATGTTTCACATACATTTCACAACAAGGAAGCTGAATGCTGTTAAGAAAGTCAAAATTGTTGTTTGATAGCATCTTGTATTACTTTATCCGAAGCAATCTCTCATTCTTACTTTCAACAAGGTTTTTCATAATTTACAAGAGTTTCATCAACACATTACCAAAGAGTGTTTATCTTCTTCTTCCGCAATTTTAAGAAACAAAAAGGAGGGGGGAGAACTACATTGAAAATGAAAGATACATTTCCTAAAAATAATAATTATTTTCCTAAAAATAATTCCTAAAAATAATAACGGACAACCTTCTTAAAATAAATATGACATTCGAAAAATATATATTTAGATATTTTGAGCTGAAAATAAATCATCATAGTAGGTTTATATCATCTCAAATTTCAAATTAGCGAAGCTGCCGTTTTAAAGGCTTCATACTGGAGTGTTGTGGTGCTGCCATCTACCGACGACAATTGCGTTATAATTTATTTGAAAATTCTTGCATAAAGTACGAATTGACGCTGCTATCTCTATTGGCAATACACACTTACAGAATTCGTATAAATAAATTTCATCATTAGCAGAAAAAAAAATTATTTTAATTATTTCTTCGTAAAGATTTTTTTAATTATAAAGAATCAAACAAATCCTTTTTTTCCTTTAATAAATTGTTATTTATTTTTCTCATTGCTGTAAATATGAAATTTATAGACCTAAAATACATCTTTTACATTTTTCCCATAATAAATATAATAAAAACGAACCTTTTAAATTTGAAGACACGTTAAAAGCAGTGGCTGCATATTTGATAAATTGCACCTAAGAATAGATAAAAACTGGAATTAATATTTATCTGAAACATGGTACTTGTTTTCGCAGTTATTGTATATTGTTTGAAAATATGTCGTTACTAAAATTTTAAATTCTGACTGAAACTTGTTTTCAGTATTTCATGTACATGAGCTGAAAATTAATAATAAAATCAAATAGAAAAAAAATATATATATAATTAATTGTCTAGGACTGTGAAAGATCTGAATATGAAATTTTCCTTACTTCTCCTCTATATTTTTCAGTCGCACTGAAAAAGTTATAAAAACTCCTAACATAACTACCTAACAAGGGAAAGTACCGGAAAAGTTTAGCAAACATTCACTTTTTGCATGGCATTTCGTTTAGTCAAATTTACTTAATTCAGCAAATTTTGGAAAAGAAAGTTTTTACCGGAGATTTTTTCCCGTCCTTCTTATAACAGTTTATTTTATCCCATATGATAGAAAAGGTTTCTTAATGTAATCACATGCATAAAAATATCAATTTTGGTAGATTTTGAGGGTTGAGGTGGTGTTTCAAAAAAGTTTTAGTACATTCCCACAACGGAACAGAAATATTCCATCTGAGATTTATTTCCAATAACCTTTAAATACGTAATACATTTTAGAAATTGGAAATTTTATGGCTTTATATGTTTTTGCTTTAATTTTCTTTTCTTTAATGTGTATCAATTTGTAAGGAATTATTGCTTTCATCCGTGCGTGCTTTCGTGGTGTAATTGGTTCGCACCCACATCCAACAAGCATTATACGATAATAACCGTCAACAAATATGACCGGCCGCACATGGTACGCTTGTCTAGGTGCTTCTTCAACAGCCCTGGTCAGCATGTTTGCCAGATATCAGATCGTATACATCGCATCTATCGAATTTTATCCCATTCCGTTAACTCCTTCCTGGTGCGTCATTTTCTATGTTATAAAGTGTATGTTAGGAATATGGATGACTATAAAAATATCTCTGAAGTTTTAAGTAATATTAATAATAACATTAATAATGTTTAATGAGCAAGAACTTCTTTTAGACAAACTACTTCAAACTTTTCTAGTATAAGCTACTCAAAAGAGAAATATTTCCTATTCAACTTTTTACTAACGCTTTATGTTCTGCAGAAGTTAAAAATGAAATTATCCAGTTTTTATCTAAGACTGAACTTTGTCTGGTTTAAAATCCAAATTTTACTGATTTTTATTTTAAATGAAACGCATAAATTGTAAGTTGTTTTGAGAAAACATCAAAGGAGAGTATAATAAAATTTAATTTCAATCCCTTCTTAATTTGGTAATCGCAATAAGTAACCCGAAAGTTTAGATTATAAAACTGTGTGAGAAATTTGATCTTAAACATATGCGCTAAAACTTGCTATCAGAGTTATTTTAATTAAAATGTTCAATTTCGATACTTGTATTTTTAAAACAAATAACAACCCACTAGAGCATAGAAGATAAAAATATTTTCAGTGTCAACGTATTTCCTTTATATCGCTTTGTTAGTTTGTTGACCGAATATCTTACGGTTTGCGGACGCATTTTTTTAAAAATCGCTGAGTTTTCAGATTGAATTTCAAACATAAATATCTGACGCTTTACCGAGCGGCAACAGTTGCTATTAAACTGCGGGGTTTGTTGATCAGAATCACATTAAATTTACACAAATTCTGAAGTAGACGAAAAGGAGTTGAAAATTCAGAATTCGGGCTACAAGATGAATATTTTCGGGTGGAGACAGCCGTTTTTCCGTAATGCGAGTAAAATGCATGTATAGATACAAAGATATTCCCCACTATTTAACCACGGGCATTATCTGCAAGACGGCAAAAAATTTAAAACACTATCTTTTCAAAATATCAATTTAAGGCACTATGTACTCGACTGCAAAAAAGAATCAGTAGTTTGAAAGACGATCCGTATACAGGAACTTTTCAGCTTTTGAGTGCAATCAGAACGGGCTTATCTTTCCGTTTCCCAAAGGCTATTCAATCATCGCTTTATTTAAATAAAGAAAAGAATTTGTTTGGGAAACAACGAAGGTAAGCCACATTTGTAACAAACTCGGTATACATCCTTTGTCCACTTAACTTACTTTTACTCCATTTCCATTGTTTTAAAGCTCCAAAATATACGAAAAATAAATAACCTTTCGTTTATTTTATTTTAACTTTCAATTAGGTCACATTATCTTCTGAAAAGGAAGTACTGGCATGCGATCAAAGTACACCTTCGCAGTGAAATTATTTTATCACCTTGCAAAAGTGATAAAAATACCTTCTTGATAAATATGGTTGTTCGATTAAGCAAACTATAATTAATCGCATAATAATTAAGCTAAATATATTTTCATTTTATTATACATCGCATGGAAAATTTTTATAACTTTCAGCATCCGGTTTAATAATAACCAGTTTAAAACGAATAAAAATACGACCAAAAAATATATAAATAATCTGAAAGCTTTCAGATTTTATATTAAGCCCAAAAGGAGATTTTTTTTTCACGGGTGGTTCAAAACTAGATTTGAAAAGTGATACAGACATTCAAAGTCATTCGACGCAAAATAACGTATAATGAACCAACTCAAAATGTCGAAACAAAATTAATAGCCCTTCTGGGCTAACGCCGTTTGCACTAAGGGAAAAAAAAAAAAAAAAAAAAAAAAAAAAAAAGCTTCAGCTTTTAACGGTTTTCTAGAAGGGCCTGTTAAGTTTTTTTGTGCTCTTGCTGAACTCGCAGTCTGCTCTGCATTTCCTCCTGCAAACCCCCCCTTTTCCCCTTTTTAGCTTTATAATTACGCATCGTTTTCTTCTTGCCACTTACGTCATGTACCGTTCAACAGCAAAATCACAGAAGTATTTAGTGTTGGTGTTGGAATATATTTCTCCTGTTTACAGTCTTTTCTCAGTTCTTCATATCAATGTTCAGTTCTCTTAGTAAACTGGCAAAACTTCTTTTTGTCTCTTTTATTAATGACGTTTTGTGTATTAACTTTATGAATTAAATGCCACTTTCTTCGCATTTACGCCACATAAAATTCAATTTAAAAATTTCATTCAATTCAAAAATCACAAAATATCTAAAAACATCCTATTTTGAAAAGAATTTTCATGGACGGTCTTGTGAGCTGGAGACATTCCGTACAGTGTTGTCACTGCTCACTGTCAAATCGCGCAGGTTGTTAATCGAAAATTCATTAAAGTTTTACAACATATTAAAAAATAATAAAAAATATGTAATTTCATTCTACGAAAATATTGAATATTTTTAATTAAATAAATCCTGAATTAAATGCATTTTTAGTTCAAAGGGGCAATTTGCCCAGAACGACTATTAATTTCGTTGTTTCACTTTTCGAACTGTTGCCACCAAATATTATCGCTTCGCATTATATTTAAAAAAATTAAATAATGAAGAATCTGCATGTATGTATGTATGTTTCTCGCACTGTGATAAAACAACGGTAGACTAGAAGAGAAACATGCTAATGTGACAATCAAAATCGTAAAAACAACCTTGTATTTAGCGTAAGTATATTGAAACATTCAATCGATTTCGAGGGCAGCTAAAGGTCCCTCCTCATCAGGAGAAAGAAATACCATGAAAGAAGAAAAATAAAGTCTCAGAAACACGTGGTACTTATCAGCACTGCACGTGGTTATAACCGGATTTTTAATCAGAGTTACACTGGCCGCCTACTTTTACTGAGCCAGGCTATCTGATTAAAAATTCGTTCAGTGGTTACTTTCCAATATTCTAGGTTCAGATTTTGAATGTGAGGTGCAGTTGCCCCTCGCTCCCTATTTTTAACTTCGCTAATTTTCTTGTCCTTTTGTTACATGTCAGATAGCCTGGCTCAAAAGTAGGTGGCCAGTGTACTCTGATTAAAAATCCGGTATAACCACGTGCAGTGCTGATCAGGACCACGTTTTCTGAGACTTTATTTTTCTTCTTTCATGGTATTTCTTTCTCCTGATAGGAGGGACTTTAGCTGCCCTCAAATCGATTGAGTGTTTCAATATACTTACGCTAAATACAAGGTGTTTTTACGATTTGAATCAAAAATTTTTTTTTTGATTATCAGGATGCTGATACCCCCGTGTTTTCTGACTTTATTTTTCTTCTTTCGGTAATTCTTTCTCCTGATGAGGAGGGACCTTTCTGTTTTTACGTTTCTACTGTAAACAACGGTAGCCCTAGAGTCCATCAAAATTTAAATAACGCATCTTCCATAGAATACGGACATGTGGAAGCCCTAATTTGAATTTAAATTTGTTTTATTATCGATTTCAATTTTGTAACACTTTAACAAATTTTGATTAACAAACTACATAATTTCAAAGCGAGCAATGCAACACTGTCCGAAAAAAAAAACATATTTTTATCTCCGCGCGCGAGACTCTGTATCGGAAATTCTAAAATAGACTCATTTTAAAATTATTTTGCTATATTGCTGTTGAACTGAATTTTATGGTTTCAGTACGCAGACATGATATTAATAAATAAGGGTAACACAAACGTAAACAAACGCCACTTTCTACGTAATTTAAAACCTGAAACCTTTCATTTTTTTTTTATTATTATTTTATTTATTATTATTATTTAAATCAATCCCATTCTAAAGTAAGAAACGAATATTCTTAAGACAGCATGGGTTGCTTTCAAGTATCTTAGTTTATTAATCCCCAAGAGACAGCTTCAGTTTGTAAAATGAATATCTCAGATGTTATCGAATGGCAGCTGACTCGAATGAAAAGTGACATAACGCATTTATACTGATTCAGCGCAAAATTCCATTTCAAATCTAAATAGCCCTTTAAGACTAATAGTTATTTTAACAAATGTTTTTGATTAGATAAAAGTTTCAGTAGATATTCCTACATTCCTGTATATTGCCTACGAAAAAATTCAATCCTTGAATTCAATCTTGAAATTCAATCCAACAGCAATATCGCAAAAAAAAAATGTTTAAAAATAGCATATCTTC